AGAAAAGGTATTTCTTGAAGCTATTCAACTTTATAACATTGAAACATTTACATAAATAATCTGACATTATAATGTGTTCTGTTCACTTTGTATTCATAATATTAATCACAATAAAAAAATATATATATGACATTTCAAAACAATGATACAAAGTGCTCCATTAAACACCTGATGTGAGGGAAGGACCATGTGAAAATGTAGGAAAATGTTTAATCCATGATCCAAGGGCCTTTGCATTCTACTTTGTATGCAATGCAATGCCATAGACAGGCGTCCTTTATTTCTAAATGGAAGACTTGCCACTTACGGCATAGGGCTGGGTATTGTTTAATAAATGAGTACCCTTACAGTGATACTGATACCAATAGAGTACTTAATTTGATACCTTTTTTATACTTCATTAGATACACATCATGTGAATGGAAACATTCAAAAAGTTCAAATTCAAAATTGATTGATGTGTTTTTTTTTTTTAAATGTAATTTATATTCCCAGTTTTTCATTTCATTATCACTCCCTATGCATTTCAGCATGCTTAACTGCCAGTGAAATACTCCACTCGACTTCAGCACCCCACAGACGGGTACTAGCTGCTGTGTGGCCGGCCAATCACAATTCATATTTAATTGAAGCCTTGTGGTGATTGGCTATTAGCGAACATACAAACACATTTTTCTTTACAAAAAAAGGATCCTAAAAGGTGATAAGTACCAATACCCAGCCCTATTTCGATTTTTGTCATGAAAATATAGTCACATTGTATGAATGTAGTTACAGCTGGCAGCAACCCAATCACTTCAGGGCCCCAACCCTAAAGCTGTGGTGTGAACAATCCGATAATGTGCAATCAAACCTCGCGTTCACATGTTTTCCTTTATCCAGATTCAGATCGCAGGTTAATTACGTTTTAAATGGGGTCCGGATCGGTCAGCCTCAGCTGCTTTCATTATTTGTATAATCTTTAATTGAAGTGCAATACTATATCCCTGGAGTGCCCCCTCCTCCTTTTAGGGAACGCAAACTACACTTCATCTGTTTAACATCGTCTTTAAGGAAAGTGATGTTATGAGAGACATCTAATAGATGATACTGACAGCGCCTCTTTAGTTGACAGCACCTAATGAATGTTTGTCTCATGGACCGTTGCATCTGAGAGACAGTATGGGTCTAAAGCCTAAACTAACCAAGCGTCAAAAGTAATACATCAACTGAAAAATAGATAAAATCATGGCCTTTCCATTTTCATGATTTATCTTTTCAGCCCTTCCATGATTTGTTGAACAGCACTTTGTAACATTGGTTCGAAAAGTGCTGTTTTTTTTAATTACTATGATTATAAACATTACGTGCAACTGGAAACAAATCATATTATAGCAAGTAGTGAATTACTCATCTGTTGTGTTTAATGTTTCTAAAGCATTGGTGTGCAACAGTTCTGCATGATGTGCTTTTTAAATGCAAGGACGAGTAAGTCGATTTGTTGTCAGATATTATTCTAATGTACAAAAAAACTTTGACATGGCTTTCTTATTGGAAGGCAACCTTTTTTTATCCAGCCTGCTAACTCTTCTGTTTTTTTCAGAAGAGGGTGGCATTCAGCCTTTTGCATTATACAACATGAAAGTACTGAGAGTAATGACACGAAAACAAAAAGCGACAGTGAAAACAGCAGAACAATAAAGAGTTTCCACGCAGGGATATGTAGTATCTGTGCATAGGATTTGACTGCCTTACAGTCTATGCCGCAGGGCCCAAAATAACAATGCCAATACAAAAAAAACTTGTACACTTTGTATATTAAATGTCCTTTTTTGTAGTCAGGTGATGAATTACTAAGCAGTGTGTTGGTTTACTCTGTGTTCAGAATCATTTATATTATACATTCATGGATTGATATCATTTATCTTAACCTCTTGCCTTTAAAAATACATTTTCTTTCAAGATCAATAGCAAATTATACAAAGCTATATGTTTAGGTTACCAGAAATGTATAAAATAGCTTAATGTATATCTATTCTTATATGTAAAATGTATTCAAATCAAGGGTAGCCCTTCAGGCATGTTGAACTTGTGGTAAAAACAGATTATTATATTATAAACTCTTAATGCTGCAATCCAGAAACTACAGTGCTATGGTGTGACTGCGTTCATGGGATGAGAGCTAAATAATTTCCTAGCATAGCACATTTCTGTCCTGTGGATGAATAAGACACATTCTTAAAGTATCTCGCCTATGTTTGGGTAACCAAATTAACAGTGGTGCTTTCAACAATACTGGGTTGCAGTTTTAAGTCATCTTTAAAAAAAATGCATTTTATTTATTTGGCCTGCATTGCAATACAGTATGTTGAAATGTTATACTGCACTTCTGTTTGCATTTTATGAGAAGCTGCAATCATAATCTGAGAGATGTTTATAAACACATACAAATCTATAATATGCCCATGTATTCTTATCTTTGTGTTAGCTGCAGTGGTACAGTGTGCTACCTCTGAAATCGTTATACCACAATCTGAGAGGATGCTTTATTCCATGTGGCTAATAAACCTTAGTTAATTTAAGAGACAGTGCTAACAGAAAATGTTTTCTTTGCTGGTTGCTCGTTTATTTAGGATTTACTATGTATAATGTTTGTCATCACAGGGCCATTTCTAAAGTTTGTCCTGTTTACTATTGTATTTAAGTGCCGTTACCATTACATTCATACACATTTCCTTCTAAAAAGAGGATGAGATTAATCGTGTTCCTGGTATTTGTCTGACTCTCAGGTGTTACAAGGAACAACAAATATTGCCAACAAGAGCTTTTGATATGTAAAATGCACAAAAGTATTGAGACACAATCTTTGACAAGTGACCATTAACTCAAAACACAATTCAAAAAAAGAACATGAAATAAGGGGTCTGTGCTGAGGTAACAATTCTGCTTTTATTTTGCTTTGTTCCCGGCCCACATCTCATCCATATAAATAGTTGATTTTACACCTTCCCTTGTATTATTTGTTACATAAAAAGGGAACACGAGGATGGTTTCTTGGCCCAAATGAAAAATGCGACAAATGCTCCAGTGTTATGAAACAGAAATATAATTGAAGTTACTGTCGAAGAAGTGCTTTATGTTTACAAATCATGAGATTTTAGAGGATGTATGAACCTTTGTTGACCCAGAGGAAAATAACTGCCACTCCGCTGCAGCTAAAGCAGGACCTAATAAATCAAATGAGATATCTTGTATATTTTGAATAAGGGTATTTAACAGCTAACATATTTATGTTTCTAAAAATGGATGTATATCATTATGGAATATAACAAAGTATTTTTCTTGGCAGCTATTATTCTGCACAATTGATCTACTGTGTCACAAATATAGGTGGTGGGGTTTCTGACTTGAATTGGGCCTACTGGATGTAATTTAATTTACTTGACATTTCTTTTGAAATAAGCCATGCCCCATGGATAAGCCATACCCTCCAGCCCCCTGATGTTGTATGGTGGATGTTTAATGTTGGTAGTTTTATTTATGATGGTAGTTATGTAGGTATGATTGCGCTTGTAATTATTATTATTAGTGTAAGTATATTTGATTGATATGATTTGTTTGAACAAAGGGAATGTATTCATTTTTCAGGTGATTTTTCCGAGTGATTTAAATAAACTAATAAATCCCGAAACTAAAGACCTTTCATTTTGAGCACCCTTGAATGCAAGAATGGTTACATTACAGTTTATCAGGGTCGCAATCATCTGTAATAACTCTAGAATACATTTGTATGCAAATAGTCCTATAAGGGTTCTCAAAAGTTTGATGACTGATTGCCATATTAAGCTAGGCAGTGTTTGATTGGTCTCACAGGAAATGATGCCACTCGTAGTCATGCAACCAGAAGCTTATACAAGCGGTCATTCCTAACCTGACGCAGTACCAAAGTAGTGTAACAATGGACCTGGAGAGGAAAAGTCACATTCACAACCTTTTAATGACTTTGAATGGCATATAGTATGACATTTTATGCCATAATATATTGTTATTATATATTTTGTAATTACTATACCATGACGTTTTTAATAGAACTTTTCAGATTGACTTTTCATGCCAAAATAAAGTTAAAGGAGACATGTCATGGCCATTTCCACTGATCATAATTCCATTGTTGAGGTATACTAGAATAGATTTATATTGTGCAATTTTCCAAACTCACATTGGTTTCTCATACAGCATCTCTGTAAACTACGTGTATTCACTGAATTTCACTCTCTGCCTTTAACGGCTCGTTGTAGCTCCAATAGCTCCAGCCCCCACCCTCCCTGTGAGCACAGTGTGCTCTGATTGGTCGGGACGTTGTGAATCGCGCTGAGCTCCGTAGAGGTGTTGTTTCCTTGTTTAGCAATACACAGCGAAACACAGCCAAACTCATCCTGAGCACACACAAACTCACAGCCGAAGTAAAAATAAGTGTGGCTTGATATTGAGTAAGAAAAAGGTTGATAAACGCTGTGAGAATGGGTCTGCAGAGAGAATTTCACCACGATCCCAACTGTCTGTTATCAGCCTGCAGCCAGGGAGGAGAAATCAGCAGAGCTGCCTGCACTGTGTGTGTGAGGAAGTCCGTGGATTGGTCAATTTGGACCAATCAGCAGGGGCTTAACGTAACTGCTCCGCGGACGTAACGTAACGGCTCCACGGATTGGTCCATTTCGTTCCGGGTACGGGATTACATCATCCCGTACCCGGAAGAATCAAATGGACAATGACGTATCTCCAACGAGGCGTTTTGGGGTGTTAGAGTTTTACTCGCTATAGGGTGTACTTTGAGGGTTTGTGACTTTGCACACCGTTTACATGCATAAAAACCTTCATAACACACAAGGGGACGGGTAATAACTGGAAAAGCATGACATGTCTCCTTTAAAAAAAAAAGTCATACAAGAAAAGTCACAGTTAAGTGTTGCATGAAGTCACCAACTTTTTTGTGTGTAAACAGTGTCACAGCTCTCTGTCAATCAGATGTATTTGTCTTTTTAATATTTGATATGACATAAAAATGTTTTTACAAAAGTAATAGCATGGTATGCAATGAAAAGAGTCATACATACATCACTGCATAGTATGCCATAAAATGATATTGCAGGTACTGGCAGACAGGAAGACAGACCAACATGGTAATATGTGTTAGTGTAAGCTTCTCTCAGTTTTAAAGTTGAGAAACACCACCATCTTGTGGTACGTGGATCACAAAAGGCAGAATTAGCAGCAGTTGAGGATGCTGCCATAATATTGGATTATATATATTAAAATGTAGAGTGATACAATAAGCTTTTATGTACAAAATAAAACTGCAACATTTTAAAACAATTTAAGCATTTATTTAGATATTTTAAGTATTTAATCTGTTACAACTATATGCCTGATAGTGAGTTATTTTACCCTTGCAAAACACTTTATCACAACAGCATGGAAATCCATGTGCTTGAAATAATTGTACATACAGTATAATATATAGAAACTTTACTGCCGTTAAAATAAGGATAATTCTTGTCTTTTGGTGGTCTTGGAGGCATACAAAAACACATTTAGTTAAGAAAAGTTAATTTGACAATTTCTACTGGAATAATTTAAACAAAATGTGTTCAAACCTGGACAACACAACCACAATCCAGACATACAGTGCAGCAATATTAACTAGTGGTAGACATTTGTACATGAGGTTTATTTTTAATACAACACTGAGAAGAAGATGGACGAGAAAATGAATAGAACGGACATATTTAACAACACATTTCTAGTGAATTATTATTTTTTTGTTTAAACTCTTAATTTTCCCCAAACAAGACTCAAGTGGTACGGTATTTTCAGAGAGATAATACCGTAGAACACAAGAGCCACAAGAGCTAAGGTGAGTTTATGAAGCAGCTTAATCACAACAAACCAGAAATATATATACTTTACATCCTCACAGGAAAACACAGGTCCTTCTGAAGCACCTTAAGTACCCTTAAGAAAAACACCCTATGTTTGTTACTTTAAACTAAAGGCGAGAATAATTGTATCATTGTGTTTACATGGTGGACACCACTGTTGGCAGTGCCGTCAGAGGGGCGTAACTCTTTGAGTTGGTCACAATTGTCTCACTGTACATGTTATTGAGAGGGATGGCCAGCTGCCCAGTTTGATCCGACCCCTCCTCAGAATTAATGCCATAGGGCACCTTGGACATGATAGCAAGACTCAACTTGAACAGCACGTTATTGAGAGCCACGCGGTACTCCTTCCTCACCAGACAGTAGATGACGGGGTTAAGGCAGCTGCTGGTGAAAGCCAAGCAGTTGGCCAGGGGGAAAAAGTATGTTTGAGCCAAGTAGAATGAAGGGCTGATATCAACGATGTCAAGCTGGATCAAGGCACCCCAAAGTGTGAGGAGGTTGTAGGGTAACCAGCAGGCGCAGAATGAGAGCACCACCACTGCCACAGACTTGGAAATATCAGCCTTTCGCCGAGAGTTGCTGCCCTTCAGGTTATGCCGGCAGAGGAAGCGCAGCAGGAGCAGGTATGAAGTGATGATAATGGCGTAGGGCAGCAGAAATCCCAGCACTAGTCTCAGAAGCTGGTTGATCCCAAGCCAGGCTGTACCATCAGGGAACCGGAGCAGGCATGTTGTGTCGTTACCCACACTTCTTACTTCTGCAAACAAACCTCGGGGCGTCGCTGCTATGAGTGCTCCAGCCCAGATAAAAACTGTGGCCACCCGAGAAGTGCAAGACCTACTGCACAGGGAGGCGCTGGGCCTCAGAGCAGCAGCCACAAAGCAGTACCGGGTCAAACTCATTGCTGTGAGGAAAAAGCAGCTCGCAAAGGCATTGAGTGCAGTGAGTAAGGACACGGCCTTGCATGTGGCCAGGCCAAAGGGCCAGCTGTAGTCCATTGCAATGTCTATGGCCCAAAACGGCAAGACCATGGAGAAGAGGAGTTGAGCCAAAGCTAGGTTGAACACAAAGAAGTTGATGATGCCTGTGGTGATGGTGTGAGTCGAGTACAGCAGGAACATCACAAGCAGGTTCCCCAACACTCCTGCTGTAGCCACAACAAAGTAAACCACAGAGATGATTATCCGTCCCCAGGGGGATCCATCATCATCAAAACCCTCCAGCCCAAAGTTGAGACTTGTGTTGTGAAAAAACAGGTGGGAATTATTACAGTAAAGGCCTCCAATGCAACCATTCAGGATACTGTTGAAAACATCAAGTCTCTTTGAGTCACTGCTTGACATTTTGCTTTCTTAAAAAGGCAATCCTGTTGATGGTTTAACTGCTTTTATTTGCAATGTTTATCCTTCTTCTGCAGTACTGAACTAAATATGTAAGTTCTGGTTGTCTGTTTATTAGCAGGCGGTCATCAATCCCTGCAAGGAAAGAGGAAATGATTATTGCATAATAGGCGCTGCAGTTCATGAGCAAATAAGTACATTAGCCTTGTCAGATAAACAAATTACACTTAAGTGTTACCCACAGAGCTAGATAATTTGATTTAGACCTCGAAGAATCAAACTTCTCTGAGAGGAAACATGGGTAAAAAGACAAGGTGATTTAACTAATTGACCCTTTGAAGTTGAAAAGCCAGTCAACTCTCCTGCAGTCTATTTTTATCATGCAATAATATCTATATATATATATATATATATAATCTATACGCTTTAACTATATCTAAGTGTGTGACTATTTATTCAAAGTATTCACAAAAACAAACAAACAGTATACATGTTGGATTTGCAGACATTACATTATGTATATATATATATAATGCTTGAATCTACCAGGGAAATGGCACGTTATCTCTCCTTTAGCAAAATAACTTGTTGAAATAAGAGTTTTAGTTTTAATGTGTAAAATCAAAAAACCCATTTGCCCTTGCAGTTAATCTAAAAGATGTAAATGTGAAATTAAGGATATCCAATGTAATCTTAATATTTACACATACTTAGAAGATATTTTTTACTCCTTTAATACTAACATTTTACATGGTGGTTTTTTATTCATTTCTCTGCCAGTCTTTAAAAGTACATTTAAAAAAGTTTGTATTTTTTAAACCCAAAACAGAATTTGAATTTTTAACTGTGTGACTGTATTGAACAAAAATATTGGTTATTAGCAAAAGGCAAGAAAAATATCAAAGTTACTGCTTCAGATTTGGATTCAAAAGTAATTTATTTAACACTAACATTCTCAGATCTGTACCGTTTTTGTCATCAAAATGTGCAATAATCACTTGGAAACAACCAGATCTGAGGCATGGCTACTCATAAGACAACAATATGTGCTGAAGTCAAATTAGCCGCATACAGTTATACTAATTAAATGTTCCACTAACAGTGTAATAACCAACCAAATAAACTATTTAAAGTTACAGAGAGATAGCAGATGTGATGTGATATGTTCTCTTTTTGAATAACTTCCTTCAGACATAAAACTGTAAACTAAGTATAGTGATTGTAAGCAACTTTAAGGTAAATATTCACATTAGCTGTCACATTTCTGCACATTTATTCTAAGCTAAATGGATAAAAACAAATCTTACCTGGATGTAATAAGGAGGTAAATCTTCGGGCTGCAACAGCTCTTCTGCCCAACATGGGATTATCATGAGGGTGGAAAACAACAACAATGTGGAAGCCACCCACCCTGAATTCAGGCTCCACCCAATCATATTTCCTCTCTGCATATTCAGACCAGATGTCACATGCAACAGAAACACTAAAACAACAGAGATATAGCAAATAAAAATAAAAATAGTTTTCTTAAATTACTGGATTCCGACTTATTTTCCATTCCCACATTATATCTACTAATGTGTACAATAAAAACAAGTGATAAAATGTTCTTTATTATTTTTGTTAAAGGAAACTAAAAATCAACTATTTCTTGTATAACATTCACACAGTTGTCTAGACAGAAGCTGCCATTCTAGATATAACTCATCACTCTTAAATGCATCATGCAATTGAGAATACAGTTAGAAAGCAATTGTGCAACATTTGTCAGCACTCTAACCTTTAATTGTAACTACAGCCATAGCATAATTCAAATGGCCATATCACATGAGTCTCGCTCACCTGGAAAAAGGTGCTGCCCTTTGTTAAACTTTGTCCCTACTTCCTTCTTCCTTACTGGAGCTCATACCTGCTGTGTTATGCAGCAGAAAATGTAGTGTTACTGTCGGTTGGTTTTGATGTTTGATTTGAGTTAGTTATAAAGCCCTTTGTAACATTGTGTTTTGAAAAGTGTCACATGACAAAATTAATAAGTAAGCCAATTGGGTGCTTGTTTATTTGTTTTGTGGCTGCATGTAACAATATGCTTATCATAAAAAGGCACTTCGACCTTACAAGCAGGTGAAAGTTCTGACAGGACTTTGACAGAAAATAAAAATGTATCAAAGTAAATCTGTTATTTTTCTATTTATAACTGGGGCGTTGCTTCATGATTAGATTGAGAAGCAGAGATGATTCTTCATTATAAATCGTTGATAGTGGAAAGAACATCAGCTGCAAATGACTAAATGAGATTAGCTTGGAATAGGCGGAAGAGTGGAGAAGTTGATTAATGCTGGTCTGTCAAAACTGAGCCATCTTAATACACTAGCTGAACAAAACATGCTTTGTTCATGATTTCATTGGCAACAGTGTGATACAGAAACAAACCATTAATTACATCAAAAATATGTTCCTCTGTTGCGCAGATGTTTTGATCGGACAAAGATCTTTGCATCTACTGCACAAACTGACAGATTAATTACTGCCTGATATCAACACAGATTTTTTTTCAGATTGAAAAAATAAATAAAAAGATACAGATCTGTTAAATGTACTCTTTTGGCATCCAAATTGTTCAGCTGTGTTCCGATACAGCATCAGCTTTTTGTTTGATGCTTGAAGAAATATGAATTTTCCTATTTCATTTTCAAGATATGGTTGTAAACACATATCCTCAACAATAACTGTGAATGACAACCAAACACTATTTCCCTGACAAAGAACAGTACAAAAAAAAGCCACCTTAAATGTTAAAAAAATACACTACTAGACATTAACTATTCCAATTGGCACCCACATTATGCAACAGCTGAATTGTTGAGTGGTGTCAACAATTCAGGATTTACTTTTGCACAAGACAAAAACGTGGTGAGATGTATCTGTTCCAGGTCTATAAATGAGTTAGATAATGGAGATCATACTACACCGCATGCCAGATGAACGTACTGCAGTGATGAAGCTTTGTCGCCACCCTTTGTAAAAATGAGAATACAACACTTCACTGTGCCAAAAGCAGGAGGTCTGAACAAGCTTCTTTCAGTATGTTCTCTATGCTTTCTCTGAAAGTGAGCCCTCTGGTGACAAACACATGACTAACAACAAGCAGCAGCATTTACTCTTGTAAAGAGAAGGTGCTAAGGGAAGAAAAACATATACATAAAAAAGGACAACACAAAGCCTTTCTTTGAAAAGTATAGCAGAGCACAGATTCTAACAACAGGTACATTTCTTTAGAAATCTATTACTTTATGACCTCACCCTTTTGATTTGAACACTTATTTCCCATTTGAAATCCTAAGACTGAATGGTCAATGATCAACCATTCATGATCAGATGCCTCAGATTGGACCTATACTGGATGCCCATCGCACCTCAAGACACACACAACATGGTTCTATGATTATCGAGAGGCCAACAAACAAGGTTATACATAGTTGTATTACTTTTGGTTCAAAATGTATTCATATGTAAATAAATTGGTTTTGTTTTTTCCTGTGAAAAGTTAGGGGAATAAAATATTTTTATTTTGTAATTGGTTATAAAGCATACTTTCCTTTACATTTCCCCTAGTGCTTATTTTTTTAAGCATAATTCCCTCTACAGCAGAGCAACATAATACTTTTAGTTGGCATGGTAATATGTAAGCAACGGAATAATGTACATTACATTACTGGACTATAATTAGTGACATAATATGTTCACATCAAATGCTGCAGCTGCTAAAGGTAAACTTGGACCCCCCCTGTGGAAGAAGGGACTATCATAATACCAATGGTGATGGTGCTAAAACTGTGCTTTAATTTGAGCTGAACTTGTTTTCATAAATGTAATTTATTAAAATTGTGTTACTAACACATATTCTGTTAATGAAAAAAATGGTGTGCTATGACTTTACTGAACACAAATGTTGAAATCTTTAACACTTTTTGTCCCGCATTAAAAGTGTCCCTCTGATCAAATAACTGGTACAATTTGTCAAGAACCGCCACTGGAAATATCACATAAGGTTTGAGTGAACTTTGTCCCCTTTATAAATGGCTGAGTGTTTAAAGAGGACCACCGATTAGAGGCCATGCACGTGTTAATATCCTCGAGTAAACCAACGTTGATCTAAAGATAAGTGTCCCGCGCGCGCGCACTACTGGTCACCTTTCAGCTCAGTGTCAGCGCGCGCACGCAGAGATCACTCGCGCGGCTTGTTATTAACGTTAATAACGTTATCTCTCGCGTCACTCGTGTCCCCATCGCAGCCGCCGCTGCGCAGGAGGAGGAGGACGGGAGGTCCAGGTGCACCGCTGCTGAGATTGAAAGACAGGGGAAGTTTTTTAACCTAAAAGAGATGAACCGTTAACTGACGACCTGATTTGTCGACAAGTGTTCATCCTCCAAACAAAGATCGCCATCGTTTGTTTGTTTTTGATCGGTGATGGGATTCCTGCAGGAGCGACCTGCCGCCTAACGTTAACCCTAAGGTAAGAAGCCTAACGGCGGGTAACTAACAGAAAATAGTGGGGGCAAACAGGGTGGGATGCTGGAGGGGCTCAGCCCGCTTGTGGGTGCTCTGTTTCGGGGAGTTTGTGTGGGCGAAAGTTAAGTACAACGGTTCGTGAGTGAGTCAGTAATATGGATGTCAGTTGTAGTAAAACACTCGGCCAAGTGTCCTCTGGGTCTCGTGCTGGAGCAGCTAGCGACAAGTCTCCCCCCATCACCATTATCGGGCTATTATTACTATCTTTACTGCGGTTTGCCACAGCTGTGAACAGGCTAGCAGTGGACATTGTCAACGCACGCAAACTTGTGGTAAGTGAGTGCAAATGGGACAGACAACAAGGCTGCCATTGTACCAGATCAGCGGCGGATTAACGGAATTCCTTTTCTCTGCACTGTCTCAATGGCCTCCAGTCTCTCTTTCTCTCCCTCTCTTTGCCTGCTTCTGTGGAAATAATAACATCTTGATTTCGAGCTTCTTCCACCTCTGGCACTTGTTAGTAAGAGTAAAACACCTCTCGGCCAGCAGTCACTAAACCAGAGATATCCAATTGATGCATCGTGAAACATGTGGATGGGTCAGAGCTGGCCAGTAGATTGTTGTA